TGGAAAAGATTGAAGCTGTCAGGGGAGCCCAGGTATGGTTTCTGCCTGTGGACAAGGTTGCCACCCTAGGAAGCACATTTAGTATGTCACGATCCACTGTGTGTGCTTGTGGTTTGAAACTTGGAGAGTGCCTTGATGGCAACCAGTCCTTGCCTGTTTAAATTTTCAAGAGGAGTCCAAAATCTGTACAGGGATGCTATCTATCGTGAAATTAAAGTGTGTCCATTATTTAAAGCACTGTAGTAGTTTCACAGTCACTCCACTGGTGGACACTCGTAATGTCATATCAGAATGGACTCTCTTGTCTTGTGGATCAGGCTGCTTTGAAGCTGCTCTAAGTTGAACAGTGCAAAGGTCCATGTGACAACACTAACTCAGTAGCGCTGCGCTGCTGCTAACCAAGCTATCTTCAGGGCTCGGGGCGTTATACCTTGGGGGTGTTGAGTGAGGATCGGCATCTCCGCATTAATGTGGCTATACTGCTTTTGAGATCTGAGCTAATAGGTCTGCATGGCATTGTGCTCTAGTGCTGAGTAAATACCCCAGCACTGTTTGTCGATGCAGCAGGAGTTTCAGGAGCCTTGTTGTTTGTACCTGTGTCCTTGAGTTTTAAAATAAAAACCATTCAAAACCTTAGGAGCATTTAATTTGCTTTATTCTGGAGTCTCATCTGGGGGGGATTCTTTTATTCCTCATTCTGACTAGTGAAGAAGATTTCAAATGTCCCAGTGACACTCTGCCACCAGCTGAAGTCACGGTGAAAGCAGCAGCTCATGATGATTTTGCTGTCCGCAAAGCCGGAGCAAACAAAAAGGCTGGTAGCCCCAAGCAGAAGTTTGTGCATTTTGGGCCAGTAACTGAGATTGATCAGCAGAGATGGGACAGGCTCGTTATTGGCAGAGCTTCATCCAATAGTGGAACAGAAGAGGAAAGCAAGAAAGATGGTCTGGAGAGTCAGGCTGGTGTTCAAAGCTCTCCTTCAACCACTGTCGGCAGTCTCGGGTTTGCTGAACACAGCGATGAAGCATCTCAGCCACGGAATGAGTCCAGGTATTTGGTGTGGCTTGGGAAGTGCCGCTGAGCTGGAAACGAGACCTGTTGTTGTTATCAGATGCTGATCTGCATGGGGGTGGACTGCAGCATAGACCTAAGAGCTGTTTACGCGCACGGCCTTGTTCAGAAGTCACCTGACGCCTTCACGGTATCTTAACATGTTCAGCGTTACGCAAAACAACGCTGTGCAGAAGTCTTCTGAGAGCTTGCCTCAAAATTTCTGATGAGCATTGAAATCACTGGTATCTCAGAGTCTAATCTGTCATTCAAGCTTTTTCTGGTTCTTGAATCCCTGCGGCTTTGCTCTGCCTGCTTTCAGCACATTAGGAATTTGTTGATCATCTTACTGGCCTTACTGACGTTCAAAAAATGCTTTCTTCAAACCTAATGGATTTACTTTCTTTTTGAAGGCGTAATGCTGAAACCAAGGTGTGTTCGTGCTCTGTGTTTCTGGCATTTATCTGGAAGAGAGTACAGCTCTAGGAAGTTAACATATTAACAGAGCTTGTGTTTATTTGGCTTTTCTGTAATCGCTTAGACTGTGGCCGTAGCAAGAATTCTTAATGAATGCTTTTAGCAAACAACTCGGTGTTTGTAAAACATTTGCAAACTGAGTTGAAGGACTCTTCTTCTTGCCTTTCATATGACCCGAGAATCTTTTGTTTCTCTCACCCCTCCTCTCAATCTCATCGCTAGTGAGGTAGCCAAGTCAGGTACAGATGATTCTTGCAGGAGAATGCTAGCACCTGGCCCGGCTTTTGGCATCATCTCTGAGAAACAGACCCTGTGCAGTCTGAACAAACAGCAGGAAAGCACCGAGGAAGAATGTGACGGGCATTTACCAGACATCGAGAGAGATGATATGTTGGTTAGAAGGATGGGAACTTTTCAGAGGCGTACCACTAGCCCCGTTCCCTTACATTGTCCTCCCCTGTCAGTAGCTCCTCATCTGCTGCAGCAGCAGCAAGGGGAGGCAGTGGCTCATGAGAAGGATTTGAAGACTCCACGGGAAGCAGAAAGGTCAGAGAACAGAAGCAGATCCCTCTAAGCCTCGTGCCTGGTTTGTGTGTGGTGTTAGCTTGGATCAGCCAGCAATGTTGTTCCATTCTTCACACAGCCTTTAAAGATGTGTTTTACTCATTCATCATGGCATGTGTTCTGTTTTATGAAATTACTTACAAGAATGTATCCTATGAACATGAAACAGTCTGTTTTCTTCCATAATATGTAAGTACTTCAGTTGTTCATTGCTGTTCAGCATGAAAACAGTCTTTCATCTTTTGGGGGGATTCCTTTTGCAATCCCTGGTGCTTTGTCTAGACTTTTGTGCCAGCTTCCAAGTGAAAAATTCCTCGCATATGTTTTTATGCAATCCCCAACTTCTAACAAATCACCTACATAAGTGTGGCATTCAACATAGTGTCATCTTGCTCTCACTCCCTGCGCTGTAGCTAAATATGCCTAGTTGCCTGCAACTGTGTTTTGAGTACCAGTACCCCACATTGCCTCAGCTGCCGCTTGCCTTTGGGCTGCACAAGTGAGCATTATCATGGAACAGTGTCACTTGTTTCTCTGAGCAGTACTGTCACACGAGAAGAAACCCAAGAACAGCTTGAGATCCCTCCGCAGCAGAGTGGTGGAACAGAAAACAAAGTGAAATGTCCAGACCCACAAAGAGATGACATGTTGGCCAGAAGAACTGGAGCTTTTCTAAGGCAGCCTGGGCCCAGTGTTAAGCAGTTCCTTCCCATGCCATTTTCAAAGCAGCAGAATAAGCAGGGCACAGCTAAAGAACTTGAGAAAAAAACTACGAGGTAAGAAAGTTGTGATTCTCTCTTCCCCTTGTAGCTGGCCCTGTGGGCTGTTTGTCAAGATCTCGTGATCTGGAAGGGTTGTTGGCCCAGCAGCAGTTTCTTCGATACTTGTCCTGGATTCTGTGCCAACTCTTTCTGCTCAAAAGAAGGCTGTGCAGAGTTTCTGGCCCTTTTGGTAGAGTGCTGTAAAGACTCAGAACAGAGCTCAACAGATGCAAGGTTCTAACAGCGTATGGAAATGGATAGACGTTAAGATTTCATTACCTTTGCAGAGGTTTCTGGTTAAATATGTGCTAATCATTACAAATCCAGCTTGAAATAGAGGTGCTGGATATAGTAGATTAGATGCTTGTCTATGGCTTAGCTGGTGCCAATGGCTTCCAAACAGGAAATCTGGAGATCCTGAGATCCCTCCTGATAAGGCTTGGTGTCTTTCTAAGCACCTTTGTTCAGGTGGGTGAGGCTATGTGTGGAAGTTGGTGGTTTAAGCCTTTGAACAGAGTTATCGTTGACTGGTTGAGCCACACGCAAATGGGAGTGGAAAGGTTCTTACTCATCAGCCTCTTCAAAGTAGATGAGGAGAAGGATATGCACGCGCCTGTGCATACACAGATGAAAAACTGATGTACAGCTCAGCCAGGAGAATAAAAGCTCTGACATCCCCCTAGAATTTAACAGTGATTTGGTGTTGAGAAGACCTTAAGTTGAATTGCTTATTTAAAATGTGTTCTTAATATTTTAATCTTTGGCAGTGTCCAGGGCAGTTGGTGTTTCTGACTTGGAAGAATGGAAGTACAAGCATTTGACTGTCTATTAAAATTGTTTTGTGCACCTGCCTCATTTAGCTTGTCAGCTATCAGGTGCTTGGGTTTGTGAGATTTTTTTGTTAACTTACAGTTATGCTTTTCATGATGGATATGTACTTTTTCAAATGTTGCTTAATAAATGCTTCTTTGCACTGCTGCCTTTGGCTCACTCAGGCCTGAAAAATGTCCACAAGTCTGCACTAACAGCTCTAGAAAACCTGTAATACAACCACCGCAAGAACAGCAGCAAGGACAGGAAAGATGCAATCTCCCTCCTGCACAACAGGATGAGACTGTTTGTGCTGCCCGAGTGGGTGAAGGTAGCCTTGATGAAGTCCACCTTGATCAAATACCTAAGCGTCAGGAGATTCCTGAGGAAAAGAAAACTGAAACATTGCCATCCAAGGATGAACATCTGCAAACGTGAGCTCTGTATGGTGTGAATTACGCAGCTTGTACACCTCTGTGTGCACACTCAGAATTCAGGTTGTGCATTGCCTGGTGTGTTTTCAGTCCCGACTAAACACTGTATGTCAGTAATACACATTCTAGAAACAAGCAGAGTAGTGGCACAATGTATTGTTCTCTTTTCTACAGCTAATGAAATAAAATATTTGACTACATGTGTGAATTGCAGAAAAGGTTTTCAAGTAGCAGAGCTTCAACTGGACTCTGCTGGGCATCCTCAGAGATGTGCGTCTTGCTTCTCCGTAATTAGAAAATGTGGCAATGCTGGCTTTCGTACTTGATGTTCTTTTATGATAAATCCCAGTGGTGGTTTGCATGAAAATACACAACGCTGTCACTTGAGTGAATGACACTGACTTGTGTATTACCAGTACCTTTTTTCAGCTACACACACCCCAAAAAACAACTACAACAGCAACAAAAAAAGGAAATCCTGTGGCTCACTTTCTGCCTATAATATTTGTCTCTTCCATGCTTTGGTAATGGTGATTCTGAGCACTGCTGTGGAATGTGACTTAAGTTTTGTCTCTGTTCATTGCATGTGTGGCACCTAATGTAAATAGTAATGTATTGTCTATTTTTGATAACTACTTTCTACACCCATTTTAGGTATACTTGAGCAGATTTTTATAATGGGGGCAGGGTGGGTGGTGTTCTTACGTAGTTCGACCTTCAGATGGTTGGGTAAGTCTTGTTTGCTGAATACATAATCCCTGAGCAGTATGATTCTTTCTTTTTTGAACAGCTTTGCTAGTACACGTTGGATGGTCAAGTAACAGTTGCCCAAATTGTATGGGTCCAGTTGCAATTGCTACTTAATGTGTTTATCAACGCTCTAATTTTATATTTGGTCTTGTAGATTCGGCCCCAGAACTGCTGTGTCTGATGACGCAGAGTAAGTTGTCTTGTGTTCACAAGATTGTATTTTAAACAACTTACACTGCATGCTTTCCCGTCTTCCTACTAATTTAAAATGCAGTTGATGCCTTGTTATTATTTTGCAGTGTTTCAGCAAATAAATTTTTCAGAAAAAAACTGAAAAATGGAGTGCAACATGGCTTACATTGCAGCTAAAAATAATTTTTATATATAAGCCCATAAAAACTGAGCGTAACACTACTGTTCAGCTGTTGCTTAAAGTATTGTTTCCTCTTTTTTTTCTTTTCTTTTGTTTTTCTTCTGAATTTCCATTGCCTCTAATCAGCTGCAGGTAAAGAGAGCTGGGTTGAATCTGGGCTGGTCGTTGAGCTAAAAAATGAAGTATGACCTATACAGGAAGAAAAAAATGAAATCCCAAAGTAATATAAAATCAATTGCCGGGACAATACATCTTCAGTTGTTCCTTTATTGTCTTTTTTAAAACTTTCTCTTGAATCCGTACTAGGTTGATTTAATTTAATAATGTACTGAACTTCACTTTTTTTAAGCTCTTCACCTCAATGCTTTGCTTCTCACAGAAGGAGAAGGACTGTGACATTCATTGCATTCAAACATATTTTAATTGTCTGTGGATGCACATAAGCTGTAGTTCAGAATAGCACGCAACATCATTTAGAAAGCTCTGTCAAAGTATTAGCTATTCTTACAAAGTGCAGGCATTTAGAAGCAAAGGAGTTGTTGGAACTACCCACATAATAATGTCCTTACATGACCTTCTCTGTCTCTCAGACAAAATCACAAAATAGAAATAGCATAGAGGGTTTTTTATAACGAGTATATTCAGAAAGTCATATATAATTTTTCACCCTGTCCTCTAGTGATAATGGCTAGAATCATGGACTGAATAATCTTTGCAGGATCTGTAATACCTTTATGCTGTGCAAAGCCTGTGTCCGCTGACCACAGAGTAAATCTGATCATTTTCACGCAGCAGAAATCTTTTCAATTAAATGAAGAGATGAGATAAAAAGAGCATAACAACACAGAATTGTTCTACTTAACAACAGAGACTTCCCTGCCATTTCAGAAACCTTACCTATCTGATTGATTTGTTCATTTATTTTCCCACATTTTTGCATGTCTGTATTAAATGCAAACATGAGAGAAGGTTCATGGAGATGCCTCCAAAGAGGCGTTGCAGTGTGTTTGGTTGTATACTGTGAGAAGCACAGACGAATAAATCGTATTGCTTATTCCACATAGATTCTGTTTTAAAAGGCAGAACAATAAATGTGCAAGCCTTCTTGTCATCCTTTCCAGATGTGCCACATTTTACAGAGCAACTATTTTCCTAAACTGTCTTTAAAGTTCTTATAAAACATAAGATAGTGGTTTTCCTTCTGAAGACAAAGTACTTACGAAGAATCTAATAAAATTTGACTTTCAACTAAGCAAAATAAATTGAACTGACATTTACAATGCTTCCAAAAGGTCTGTGAAGTCTCCTTTGAAAACTCTGTAACTTGCATTCGGTCTTAGACTAGGTGCTATTTATTCCAGCAGCAAAACTAGAAACTCAGTGGTTAGACTGACAAAGTTCCCCGCGCTGCTTAGTGGGTGCTAGATACTGTCATCAGCCCTGGTCTGTCGCAAGGTCCAGAAAAGGCAGCACATAGTGTGCTGCTGCTGCTCAGCCCCATTCCGTCTCCTGGAATGACAGGGCTGAACTCTGGGGGTAGTGTGACACTCCAGTGGGAGATTAGGTGTATGATTTATCATACATAGTGAGCTATTTGAGCATTTGTTCACTAGAGTCAGATTCTTTAGCCAGCCTGTCGCTTTTATGTTTTGTTGGGGTTTCTTAAGTCTTAGTATGCCTGGAAAAGGGTAATGCAGCCACATAATAAATGCCTTGCGTAGTGTTTTTAACATATTCTCATAAAAATAAGTTTTTAGCCTTTTTTCTCATTTTTATATTAAGTACTCTGAACATTCAAGTCCGTGAGGACTGCATTTATCCAACACTGTTCAGACTTGTTAAAAAAAGAGTTGCTGCATGATATCACTGACGACAACAGCTGTAATTTGCGAGAATAAAGCAGCGTAACTTAAAATTCATATCATCCCAGAGACCTAGCCCCCCCCTAAATACACTGTTGGTCTGCGCAGTGTTTTTTCCCAGATCTTTGTCGGAACAGCAGGTCTGGTACACTGGTCAGCAGAAAGGCCTCTTGCTTCCAGAGTTTGGATATAATCCCCAGGGCTTTGCTAATGGCAGCAAATTAATGAACCTGAATTAGGTACCGTTAGATCTCCTCCATCTGCTTGCATGCTGTGTGCCTGCTGGCTCAGCACACGGTTGAAGGAAGGAGTAAATCTAGCTCGATTCATGCAGGTGTTAGCAAGGGACTGGAGTCATTTGTAGTTTATCTAAGAAATAGGAAGAAGTGATATGGGACTTGGTGAAAGTGTAGTTTGGCAGAAGCTCAGAGTTTTGGCCTCTGATTCTTTTGTAAGGATGGATTTGTCAGGCAGAGAAGTCGATGTAGACCTTTCAGTTGGCCTTTTCCATGTATTCAGAAAAGTAGGTGGCTCTCGTTAATGGCTCTCACTTGTTGGTCAGAGCAGAGCCCGGTTCTTTGAGATGTGACTCCTTGGGATTGGTCTCCTGGGAAGATCCATTTGCTCTGTAACACGTTGCTGCAGAGTTAATGTTTGGACTTTCCTGGTTGCTTATCCACGGCAATGAAGGCCCAGCAGCAGGAGGTGACACCTAGAGTAGAAGGTGCATGTGGGGTTGTGCTGTGTAGTTTGATTCCTGGCCCAGGCTGAAGCCTTTTCCAGAGTGCCTTTTCTATTGCACTGTTAATAGCCATAAAACCTTAGGTTTTGCTGTTTCTGTGCACCCCAAGAGACCCTGAGTAAATACAGGGAATAAATACTAGCCTTTCATTTGGGCATCAGGGGACTCTCAGTAGAAGGTATTTTTATTTTCGTATCCCAAATGGCAGAGGACAAGTACTCATGCACTCTACTAGAACCAGCTACTGCTTCGGGTCTTCTGTTTTCCTCTACTGTACATAAATGAAGAATGCTCTGACGTGAGGGGAGGGTACAAGAAAGAAGCAACACAATCACTTTGCCCAGGAGGCACAAGGTGGCAAATACTTAACACTAAAGGCTTTTCTTAGTGTGAGTTTCAAAAGCTCCTAAAATTCAATAAACCATTTAAGGGTGACTTGTTATAAGTTATGCATCTCCCAGCCTGCCTCACCAGTCTGCAAAATATGGCTGATGTTTAAATGTTCCTAAGTAGGTGATATGCCTTTAGTTTTAAAAGCAACAAAGTTTGCCAGCTCTTTAGGTTCTGTTATTTAGGAGTGCTCCAGTTCAATGAGCAATGCAACCCGTAAACTACCTGCAGAGAAACCCGTACTAGTGTACCCCTCAGCCCTGTGTTTAAGTGATGAAGAACGGTGATATCCTTGCTGTTTGTGCTTAAAGGCAATAGGATGTGTATTCTGTTCTTCATTTCTGAGTAAGGTATTCTGTTCTTCATTTCTGAGTAAATGCCTACTAACAGGATGGGATCTGTGCATGTCCTTTTCCATCCACTATCCAGATCTTTCAGTTTTCCCTGAGAGTGGTTCATTCCCATCTTTGCTTGCCTGAATACAAATGTTGGCTAAATATATCTATGCACAGCTTTCCGTGTCTGTTCACTTTGATTACCGTGGACACAGTTGCCTACAATTTTATCTTCATTGGGTGCTTCTCCTGCTAGCTGGCTTGTTGGCTCACCTAAAGCTACAGATGATCATTTGAAGACTGCTGTGAAATCACTTCATGTGGAACTGCATGGCTTTTTTTTTTCTCCCTTGCTTTTAATGGCACAACTGAGGTCATGTTTTACTGATAATAGGTAGTAGGGGGGGAGTAGTAAGTACGGTATCTTTGTGTCAAGATCTTAATATAATATGAATGGATGGATAATATCAAACCATGACCTTTTTTCCTTTAATTCTCCAAAGGTCAGGAACAGAAATAGAATGTGTGGAGAGAAACTGTTTTATCCTGAACCTTTTCCCTGTTAGGTTAGCTGTATTAATAAGTTGGCGCTGGTAGCATTGCGTTTCTTTGAGGCAGGGAGGGGAGAGGAGGAAGGACCATGCTGTTTGCGCTGCATGTACTTCTCTGGGCAGGCTTTCCCCAGGTTTGTAGCAGTAGCATTTAGCCAGCCATGCTGCCCCTAATATGCTTCTCAAGCCTCTCTTGTTTTACGCTGATATGGAAACTTCTGTCTGCGTTGTTAATTGGAGGGGTCTTGAAAAGTCACTGGGAAACAAATCTTCAGAAAGTAAAATGTTCTGAACTCTGCTCTGAAGAGAGTGATTTTAATAAAAGCTATTGATGGACCTGTAATGTTGGTAATGCTTCTTAGTGAGAGGCAAAGTTGCAGTCAGCTAACAGAAACAAGATACAGTTGAGGAGTACGATGCCTGAAGTACAGAGTGGGAGCCACAGGGATGCTAACTGGTCCTTCTAGGGGACTGCTGCTTTTGGTGCTTCCTAACGGTGCGGGTGTCTGATTCTGCTGTAGCACCCTCATGTGGCTTTAGCTCTAGCAAGCTGAAGGACTAGAAGCTTCTGAATAACGCTGCGCTTCGTTTGCCCCTTGTTTAGGAGCGTGAGCATGTTTGACATGAGAAGTGAAGAAGAAGCTGTGACTCAGCCTCATAGCAAAGCTCGCCATGAGAAACTGCAGAACGTACACAACCAGCTGAAAGAGGACGAGACCAGATGGCAGGACGTGAGTACGCAATGTCATCTGCAGTGCTGGCGCCGAGACCGGCTAGCTAGGGGAAAACATGCAACCTGCTAAATCTGCTGTTGTACTCTAGCCCGGATTTTTGCTAAAAGCATGGAAGTTCATTTTTTGGTGTAAATTACAGGATATAAGGTCTTCTGGCGCCTCTGCCTGTGCACCATGTATTTTGCTTTTTTAAAAAGTGTAATTAAAATATGATTAGGTAAAAATGGAAACAGAGCAGCTTCTCACAGCTGATTTCTCTAACTTTTATAATTAGTAAATGCCCAAAGTGACAAAGTACAAGATTAAGCAGGACAGTGAATAAATAGGTTGGACTTGGCTATAGTAAATTTGCATAGATACAGAAAATGCTTACATTTTCTATCTTGTCCAAGCAGACAAGTTACCCTTCAAGTCAGCTACACCCTGCTTAGGTTACAAGTCCTTTCCAAACCCTCTTTCTTCAGTGTTTTTTTTTTAACCTCTCCTGGCATTTGGCATTATCTTCAGCAAATTAGTAAGGACAGAAAAGCATGATTTTCAGGTAAGTTAGTATCATGAGTTTTCGTATCAGTCCTGTTTGTTCCTAAAGACTTATTTTAAATGAGGAATTTGGGACATATGTTTTTACTTTAAAAAAATCCCCAAACCAAAACCACGTCTCTTCAAGCAGCTAGTACAATAATTTCCCATTATAAGGACAGCTACCGTGAAACATCTCAGAGAGGTTTTTGGTAGAAAGTTCAAGGAAAAGTCAAAAAAAGAACAGTATACACAACTAAGAAATCACTTTTCGTAGTAGAACAATGAAGGATTTCAGCTGAGAGGTCTGTATGTGTGGGAAGCCATAATTTCCCAGCAGAGATAAGAACGAGTCCAAAGGCATTCAAGAGGTTTGAGAACTCTTTGCTGTTGAATGGAAAATCCTCTGAGCTAAAGTGCGTAAGTTTTCCAGGCCCTCAGCACCTTCTACACTGAACTAAAAGTTGTGAAGAGCCACTGAAAATGCCCTTACTGGAATGTCCTTGGCATTCAAAGGGCTTTATGGAGACGACACTGCATTCATGGCTGGATATTTTTTACATGCCTATGCTGTCAATTTGCCAACAATTAACAGTTTCATGACTTTTTTTTATTATTGTTATTCTAAGCATTAGAGCTGGAAAAAACAAACACATCTGTTTTTTAATTACAAAAGAGGAGGAGGGCTTATGTTACAAAATTTGCTAATGAAAAACTAATTTCCAAATAATAGGCAATAGTGGGAGTAGCTGAATAAAGAAATGCTTTGATACTTCAGTGACAATAATTAGTAACTGAGGAAAATGAAAGGCCTATGTTTCAAGAAGGGGATTATAGACTGATATATGTAGGTCATGTGAGGAAATACTTTAATGAGCATTCCCTTGAGTGTAACGTCAATAATTTGTGGTTTTAAGCTAAATTAAAAGTGACAAGGTTTGTTCCTGGTTTTAATAAAATAAGTTGTGCTTGCAGTACCTTCTGCTGTTTACCAATAAAAATGCAATTAAAATACTTGGAAAACCATGTAATTAATGAAATACCCTTTCAATTGAGTATGTGTACAGAATCTCTGTTTTTTATTAAAACCATAATTTGTTAGAGTGCAAGGACTATAATCTGTATACTAATCTCCTGGTGTTTTAAAGTGAATGACAAATGTGCCCTTACAGTTTTCTCAAAAGTTATTTTTCTTTGTAGAATTTCTGCAGAGGTTATTTTTTTATATGTAAAAAATTGTTCCTTTACTATTTGGCTGCAAAGAAATTTTACAGCTTAGGAAACTTCTTTACTGTAATACTTTTGCTGTGAAGAAGATCTTGCTTTTGCACCCTCCGGGACTTCAGGACTTGTGAATTCATAACTCAAGCAGGATGCAAGACGTAGGTGCCCGTAGTAGGTACCTCTTGTGACTCTCTGGTTTAGTGTCAGGCTGGTTTGGCAGGAAGGGTAAAGAACCAGTATCAGTGAATCTTCTGAACAATTTTGGGCAGGCAGATTCCACAAAGACAAGGTCGTCATTTCAGCAAGGATATATCTATATAGCTGGATACAAACCATAGGCTTTTTGCTCTGTTGTGTCTCACATCAGCGAGGTGTGAGCCACATTAGTCCCTAATCTGGGTCCAAAATATTGGAGAGTGTCCATGAGGAAGAATTGAAGTTTGGGTGCTGCACTTGATTTTTCTGTCAAAAAAAAAAAAAAAAAAAGAAAAGCATGGGTCAACCACGCTTGCATGTAGCTGGCTGATAGCATGGGCAGAGTATGGGACTATCAGTTCCCCAAGGCAGACTATCAGTGCAACTGCAGTTCCTGGTGAAATGGAGTCCCTTCCTCCAATGAACTCCTGCTTCCCATACATCTGATTGTAAAAACTCTTCACCAAACATTATTTTTCTACTTCATCTTCCTAGGGAATCAGGTTTTATCTCTAACGTTGGCCCAAGTGAAAATGAGTGCCCTGACTGGTACTTTTACACCAGACTTCCTGGTCTGATTACCTGGTGTGCTTCTGCAACACTGCAAAGCCGAAAAGAAAATACACCAGTGGAGCTATGAAATCCTAACTGGATCCTGCTGTTAGGAGAAAAATCAGTGGGGCAACACCTTCATTTTATGGTGTAATCTCCTTTTCTCTTTAAGATAAACATTGCTGCCTGCAGGGGATGGGAGCCTGGTCCAGAGCCAGAAACAAGCATTGCAAAGTGACTGACTGGGTTCATTGGTTTCCGTGACCAGTTTTTGGGTATTTGCAACTCTGCATTCAGGTCCCTTCCTTCTCTCGCAGGACCTGGCTCGGTGGAAGAGTCGCCGAAGGAGCGCTTCACAGGATTTAATAAAAAAAGAAGCTGAGAGAAAGAAAATGGAAAGGTTGTTGTCTGGAGATGGAATGAACGAGCGCAGAAAAAGCATCAAAACCTACCGAGAAATTGTGGAAGAGAAGTACGTTGTTCTACTGAAGTGCAGTGGCATGTCTGAAAATGCTATGTGCTCCATAGCTGATAGGTAGCTGTGGGCAGCCATGCCTGCGGGCCTGGGCTGAGGGAGAGGGAAGGACTTTGACGGAACAGAGGAAATAGGAGTGATTTCCAGCATAAATTTTAACGCGGTGGTCTCTCTTGTGTTGTCTCCCTTGCAGAGAGAGAAGAGAGCGGGAGCTTCATGAGGCATACAAGAACGCAAAGTCACAGGAGGAGGCTGAGAGCATCCTCCAGCAGTATATCGAAAGATTCACTATCAGCGAAGCTGTCCTTGAGCGTTTGCAGATGCCAAAAATTCTGGAAAGAAGCCATTCAGTGGAGCCAAATTCCCCACTGAAAGACCCAAATCCTCTGAGGTATTTAAGGCAACAGTCGCTGCCTGCTCCAAAATTCACTGCCACCATTGAAGCCACCATTGTTCCCACCGCTGAACTAGAACCCAGCAGTTCGACGGGCCGCACATCTCCCAGCAAAAGCGTTGTCTCCAAGGCTGTGCCTATGCTGACACCCAAGCCTTACTCGCAACCCAAAAATACACAGGAAGTTTTAAAGAACTTTAAGGTAGGATATGTTGCACTCCCCAAAGTCAATCAAGAAGCGAAGAGATCCTGACTAAATCATCTGAACATATAAATGTTTAATGCGATTAAGTAGAAAATGGTTGCAGCGTTCTGATATTACAAAACTCAGCTTTGTGCTCTGTGCTGTCTGATCTAGTGGTCTCTTCTTGGTTAGCAGCCTCCTTGGAAACTTGACCTCTTCAGGCTGGAATATTTGTGCTGGTCATTTTTCCTAAGGTGAAATTTGTCTGGGGAAAGACAGGGAAGGGGGGGCCCTCTAAGAAAAAAGTAAGATGTTTTCTGAGAAGGAGATTAGGAAAGAGTATGTTGTCATGTTTTTTCTGGCTTTAAACAAAAGGGAAGGGGCAGGGGGCATGGAGGCGCTGACTTTCGGAGCAAGACCTGAACTGTCTTTTGTGTCAGGGGTCTGATTTTTGCCATGCCCAAACAAGTCTGTCCCATTCAGCCACGTCATAAACCTTTGAAACAACGGGGTGTGCATGTATTCAATGTGGAGAGTCCCTACTCCTTCAGAGCCAAGGGCCAGCTTGCCCAAAGACACTCTGTGTCATAAACGTGCTTCTCACCAGGGATGAATGGAGAAAGATGCTTCACTGGCCTAAAGAGGGGTTACAGGCTGCCCATGAAGGTTTAGGGAAACAGACTGGTACTTGGGCAGGGGCGTAACTGGGGATTGCTGGTGAGAGAGGGGGATTGACTGTTTAGAGTTGCAAGAACTGCGCGAAGATTATGGGAATAAGAGAAGTGAGAGAGCTTGGGCAAAAGCAGGACTGCCTGGAATAAGGAGCTAGCCATGAAATTTGTGGGGGAAGAGGACAGGAGAAGAGACTGAAACTGGGATATGAAACCTGAGGAGTGTATCTTTGGCCTGGGTTGGTGTGAAGAATGATACCAATGATGGAGAAAGCAAAGAACTGGGATGTGTTAGAGAGAACAAGCCAGAATAAGTCAAGTTTGAAGAAATCTGCTTCTCACAGCGCCAGTACCAGAACTGGAGCTTCCCCAGTTCTCATTGTAGGCTTGTTCAAGACCCACCTGGACAAGGTCCTGTGCAGCCTGCTGTAGGAGACCCTGTTTTGGCAGGGGGGTTGGACTAGGTGACCCACAGAGGTCCCTTCCAACCCCGAACATTCTGTGATTCTGTGTGATTCTGTGATACTGGCATGGGTGCCCCAGCCTGTGTAGTTTGGGTCCCCTTGTGTCTGCCATTGCTACCTGATACTTTGCTAGTGGCATGCAGAGGTCCCTGCAGCCCTGCTGATGTCCCGGTAACGTTGCTACCATGTATATTCAGGTTGCTTACTTTTTTAAAAATAGCTTTGTATAGATAGTGACAAAGCGTGTTGTGATGTCTGTCATTTCTTGAAGGCTCTCCCAGCTTTTCACAGAATCACAGAATCACGGAATGTTAAGGGTTGGAAGGGACATCTGTGGGTCATCGAGTCCAACCCCGCTGCCGAAGCAGGGTCACCTACAGCAGGCTGCCGGTCCACCATGTTCCCCACTTGAAATGTGAAACTGCTAATTCCTATTTCTCCTATACCTCAGTTGGTATTCCCTTAGAGTTTACACTTTAGACATCAGTGAATCATAGATCTTTGTTTTTTTTCTGATCCATGCCCCTTTTTTCCTCAGAGGACCAAGATACACGTGTGCATCACCTTCGCGTTAATGCATATATAGTTCACATATGCGAGCAGAAACTAACCTATGGATGCTTCTACCTCCCACCAAACCCCACTAAATGGCTGTCTAGATCTTGTTCGCTTGCTGTGGAAGAATGTCATTTGTCTCAGTAGGAATCATTCCCTAGCGCATGTAGCTGTAGTGTTATTTTCCCTTGAAACCCCAGTCTGGTGATGATTCTCGGCTCTGGTGACAATGTGTTGACTTGCTCCAGATCAGAAGGAAAGGAGTGTGTTTGTTTAACTCTGCCACCAGGGCATCTGTCCTGATCATTCAAACATTTGGTTTTCCTCCCTAATATAAATAGAGAAATGTCTTAGTGTAAACAGAGACACTAAAATGGATGGTTTGGCCTGCCAGTGTTTTCCTGGCTTTTGGATTTCTGAGATCTTTCCTGACCTGCCTTTCTAGTAGATAATCCAGTACACAGTCCCAGAAGACTTGGGGCTCAGTGTCTGCTCACACTTGCATTTGGAAGTAAACCCGAAGAGTGGTACTGTGCTGAGTGGATGATGGCAGTGAGGAAAGGGAGGAAACCTTTCCATCTGAAAAGCAGTCAGAAGGGGTGAAACGGCTTACAGAGCCCGGCTGTTCCTCCTGCATGTGGGAGCTGGTTGTGCGAGGTGCTAACTGCCTTCAGCTCCACGCATGTCTGTCAGAGCCGAGGATGCCCAGCGCCTCGGAGATGGCCCCTTGGTTAATCATCTTCAGACAGAGAACAGAACTCTGGATGCACTTGTACAAGAAGTCAGCGGGAGGGGTTTGCCCTCACCTTAGCACTGGTGGCATATAGTGAGTTGGAGTGTCGCTCTGGAGGTATCCAAGCTGTTTACTCAAGAAGTAAAGTACTGAAGAGAAGTAAGTGGTGAAATAAGGAGTGGGGCATGGAGGATGAGATGGGAAGAGCTTGGTTTTCTTAAGCTTTGTTTCAGTTCAATAAAGCAGTTTTGACACTTGTTGCATCAGATTTCAGTAACAGTGAAATATGTGAAAAGTTCCCATGGAATGGCTTACCTCTGAATTTGTTTTTACATGTGTTTTTTGTTTATGCAGTACCTGTGGAGAAACCTGAAATGACTAATCACCATGCATAGGCTTCTCTAAGAAGTCACTGATCTATGCCGTTATGTCCCCAAAGTCCAATGAGTAGCAGAGAAGAGTCTGTCCATATTTACTCCATCACCATTGCATTGTCTCCCGTGATGACCGTTTTGCAAGGAAGGATCTCTGTGCACATAGTAGCAAAGCCCTCCTTCAAACCTATTTAAAGCTCACCCCCGCTGACAAGCCTAGAAACATCTGTGCTGTAGCTAGGCGGGAGGAATATGGTGTTTACTGATACCTGGTGCTCTCCTGGTCTCTCTCCAGCTGGGCCCTCTTACAGTGAATGGCTTGTGAGTTCTTTGTAGCAAGACATTTTTCATGTATACCATGGCTTCTACAAAAAGCCCTCCAAACTGAAGGAAATCTCTACATGACATGTCCATTCAGAACACAGTTATGAAGTATTAACGTCCAGAAAGGAAGCTGTATCAGTGCAGAGGAAGAAGCTAGAGCTTATTTTGTATTTTTGTCTTTGCTTAAGGGTTCCTTAGCAGGAATATATACCCACCAAGGAGCTGGCATGAACCTGAGAACAAAGTAGTTGAACTGTTTCTGCGCTCTGCTTTCCATGGAGACCACATAAAATCATTTTCTAGGAAAGCAACTGTTTGTTTATTCGCCTCATAGAGAAGGTGGAATGTCCGGTTTTACTTCTTGGTTCCTTGCTTCCCTGTTAGGAACGGTAAAGAAACAAGTGGATGAACTCTGCTGCTCCTGACCCTTCAAAGTTCACAATGCTTCAGAAAGCACAGTCCACTAATATCGTGGTGGGGTCGTCAGGGTACACAGCAGTTCATTAACATTATTAGTCCTTGGAGAACCTGCTTGCCTCTTGCATGAGGCAATGCAAAACCAGCAGTTTTCGTCTACATTTAAGAGAAATCTTTGTTGTTCTTTTAAAATCCATTGGTCTGTGATGTATACAAAGGGTGTCTGTACGTTACTGGGAGAATGAAATGTGGGAAACCAGGGAATCCAGAAAAATTATTTCCTTCTGTCTGCATTTTGTTTATGACCCTGCTGGAATAGGGTTTTCTTCTAACTTGGCTGTTGAACGAAATGTGTGCTTGGCTCTGTCCTTGACTGATAGCACAAACTGCGTTAACAATTGTAATATCATGCTGAAGTCCTGATTTCCTAAATTCATTTGAATACAAATTGCCTCAGCATATTTATTTAACTGTATTCTGCAGGTAGATGGAAAAGTCAGCATGAACGGAGAAAACTTCAACGGTGTGGAAGAGAAGGATAAAGAGTGTTCAACAGTAATATTTACTCCTTCGCCAAGCAGATCTCTGAAATTTGATGGAGTAGCCAGAGGGGACAGGCCCCCGGTAGAGTTGAAGAAGGACCCCACAAGTGCTGAGCTCGGTTTACAGAGCCCTGCCACTCAGAGTGTGCACAAAGAGCCAACAGTAAGACCAACACGAACAAACCAGCCTTACTTTCTCTGCCAATTTTCTGTCTCATAATGTATTTAATCACTAACTAATGAAACCCGAGTGCTTATGTTTGCTTTATTTCAAGAGGGCATGCCCAGACCAGGAAAAAAAAACAAAACCCAAACAAATCCTTTGTAAATTAAAGTCTTCTTCCTTTGGGATGTGGGTAGAGAAATGCAAGGGGAAGTTTCAAAAAACTTTTTGCAGCCAGTATCTCTTTTGTTTTTTTTTGATGTCATGCAGCTGATAAGCATGCTTTAAATGTGCTGGACCGGGGAGAAATCAACTCTGTGTCCCAGCTATTGTGCAGAATTATTCAGCTCTTCTCCTGGTGTTAACTGATTAGATCAGCAACATAATTGGACTGTGCGAGCCATTACAATTAGTCTCAGTTTTCAATTTTCAAAGAAGAGGATGTGGATGTGCTGGCAGTTTTGGGCGTTCAGCTTTCATTGTCCTCTCAGAAATACTAGAAAAGGGGGTAAGCTATTGAAATGCTCAGAGGGGCCAACGTGCTTCTTAACTGCCTTATCAAAAAACAAATTATTTTTACCTTTTCATCTTTGTCTCCCCCTCTTCCCCAGAGAAATAAAATAAAATAGGAATAAAACTAGAGCATATCACACCGGGAATCTAGATGCTACAAAACTGTAATAAAAGTAGGTAGTAAAACCAAACCAAGAAAGAAGGACCAGACTGCAAATACAGCATGTAAAAGGGTTGCAAACAAGTGGCAGGAGAGGGAATTATCAACGTTCTTTTCTGTGTAACAATCAAGAGAATTGGAGATGTGGTGAGAGTTGGTGTATGGCAATTTTTTGCTTTCATCTCAGATTTCATGCAAGCATTGGCCAGATGGGTAACAGGGAGTGGGCAGGGATCTGTCCCGGGGAGCGATGGTTCGTTCATGCCAAAGGGCTTGTGTCTTGTCTCACTCCCCTGCCTCATGCCGGCCTCTGGCCATGGACAACCAAGCCATGGAGCCTGCAGCGAGCGTGGGAGCTGGGATATGCTGTGAGCAGACTTGATCCGGTCAGAGGGAAATGGTATAGCGTCAAAAGGGAATGATTTGCAGGAAAGTATGCAGGGATGGCAGAGCAGAGGCTGCTTCTGTCAGAATGAATTGACTGTAAGGGAAAAGCCAGGGAAGCATTGCAGAGCTGGTAATGGGAATGTTTGGAGGATAGAGAGGAGCCTCAGCTTCCTGTGTATTAGAAGCACAATGACGATCAGAAAAGCAGCTGAAGGAAAGAATTGCTGTCTCCTTCTTGATGAGTTCCAGACCAGTATAGCCATGGAAGAGTTGAGAGGAAATTCAGCAGCAGAAGGCACTGTTAGAGCTTTGGTGTGTTTGTACCTGTTTGATGCCCTCTCATCCTTCCCATTCTACAGCTTTGAGGATGATGTGGCCAGCTGAACGTAGGTTTTTCTGTGTCCGGTTTCTGTTTCCAGTGTCATAGGCCTCGTGGTGATATTGGCAAAGGAGGCAGGAGAGTCTGAATTCTCAGATTCCCTGTGACTCTGACATTTGCAGAATACCTCCTGATTTGTAAGCTTGAATGCACTTCATGATGAAGCCTTCTAGAGGGAAGGAGTGTGCAGCCAAACGGTGCTATTGACAGTTTCTCTGTTCTGACGAAGGACTTTATATCGCTAACCACAATTTCATCAATAATGTGGCTGGGTAGTGCAAATCATTATAATTACTCCTGGTGCTTCAGCTTCAAGAAAAGGTATGTCTGTCAAGCATGTCGAGGGCAGAGCAAGGAGAGGAGACTGCCTTGAGGGGGATCTTACTTGGGGAAACCAGTGGAATGCACGGAGTGTGATGGGGGGAAAGAGAAGGAGACCTGCCTGTGGCTGGAAGGGAATTTGCCAGCCCAATATAATATTACAGGTTCTGAACCTGCTAGATGTTTGCTTCTCTTCACCCAGCTGCTTCGTTTTATTTTTCCAGGTCCCCATGCCTTAGACTAAGGTGTGGGCAGTAATTTCGCTATTGAGCATATAGGAGTGCCCTGGTTTGTGGACGGGAAGGGCTTAGATGCCAGGTTACAGAGATGGAGCGTGTTACTGATGCTTGGCTTCTTCACTGCATGTGTTAGGCCACAGACCAGCACTGCTATAGGCAGCTCGATACGGATGCGATCAATCTGGGGCCTTATCTGCAAGAATCGGGCAGCTACACTGGACTCGCTTCACTCAGCCTTCTCCCTGTGCCTATTTTACTTTGGTTTCTGGACAACTAACACAACGATGTCAGCCTGCATCTGCAGAGTCTGAAATGCTAAACTCCCTTCTGAAGGTATAACCCCTCCTAGGAAGGTTGGGAATCCAAATTAGGAAAGTAAAGAGCCTCCTGGGCTTGTCCCACTCCTCATAAAATGTGGCCTCTAACTGGGTAGGATGCTGAATAACTCCTGCTGTCACTGTGAGCCCTCCAGAGGGGAAGAAGGAGTTTGCCTTTTGCCCCAGTGGGATGGGGCTTCCAAGCTACACGTTCCTGGAAGTAAGAAAGCCTTCTGAAGCCATATCACCTTCCACAAGGAGAAACCAGGGCTATAGTTTTTGTCTAATGCTTAACCCTACTGAATTTGTAGGAGAGGAGATGAAGGCGACAGAAACAGAAACAGGGAAAGAAAAGCAGATGAGATGAAGAAGCAGAGGTGTCTGGAGCAGAAGGAAGGAGTACATTTGTTTTGCCTTGAGAAAACTTCTACAAACTGAGCATGTTTTTAAAGCCTTTTCTAAGATTACTTTCACTGCTTTTGTTGTATACTTTCCTTTATTGGTGTAGTTCTTGTTAGCTATGTCCTTCCCAGGCTTTGAGATTCGCAGGCACTAGTTCCTCTGCCTGTCAAGAGGTGCTGTTTCTGGGGGTTTTTTTTCTCTCTAGTTACTCTGAGATGTGTTTTGATTTTGTATTTTATTCATTCGTTTTCTGCCCTGAGTCTCTTTTGTGAAGTACAAGTTCCTTTTCATATATACGTTACCTTTGGCCCTCCTGTCCTCCCCTTCTGCTTCTCTTCCTGTTCTTTGCGTGCCCCTTCCTCCTTCTCCATCCCTCTCCGGGCTGCTCCCCTGCTGTTTCAGTTCAGTTGTCAGATGGACTGGTCCTGTCTTCTCTCCGCCTGGCAGGCTTCCCTTTGAAGCTCTGTAGCCCTGCTCTAAATCTGCCCGGCTGGCCTCAGGCGTTGTCTGCAACACGGAAAGATGCTGTGCAGCTGTACTTCAACAGCTCTTTTGGCCTGAAGTTTGGAAAATGGTGTAGTCAAGTCGCACCACTTAAAAAGCTGATATGATTGAGGTTTTGGGGGAGCTAGAGAAGCACAGGGACCATTTCGTGTGGGTGAGACTTCAGTATCAGTTGTCTTTTTGACAGAGAAGAACCTCATCTATGTGTGAATCAACTAATGATTGACAGTCAGAGAATAATTGGGAAACATATGTAACTCCTGCCTAAATCTGCTATGTCATGAGATGCAGAAAGCTGCAGGAGGTGGGAAGGATGGTAGAGAAAAATGTTATCAAGGAACTACACTTGTGTCTGTAGTGTGTAGAGTACATAGATTTGGGGGGGACGGGGGAGGAGGAGGATTTTACAAGAGACTTACCTTTACTCAAAGTAGATTATGAAATTTGGCCTATGATTTAAGGCTAGAAAGGCTAAATTTGGCCTATAAGCAGGATGAAAATACCCCACTGGTATTTGTGAAGCAATGTGCTGCTGAGAGAGGCGGTAGGTAAAGCACACCTCTCTCTTACTGCAGCTGGAAAAACGGGGGCAGAGGCCCAAAGACTGACTGATCGGTCAGTGGCCATGCCAGCACTAAGGTGAGGATCATCACCTCACCCCGGCCCTACCTGTCAGCCATTAGGTCGTGTTTTCTTTCTGTTACACAGAACAGCGATGCACATTACAAATGCTGAGAGGTTGTATCCTCTAGCTCTTTGAATCAGAAATTGGTAAAGTAAAAGTTTTGGTTTAAAACTAGATTTGTGCAGGTTTTAGTGTAGGGGGATTAATTTGTCAGTGAGTAACATCATTTTATTTTAACTGATCTTTGTATGAGCGTTCAAAAATTATTGGCTTGTTATAGCTCTAATTATAGCTTTGCTCTGATCAGCAAAAAAAAAAAACACAGCAACTTCAAAAAGATCAGGATGAGGTGGTGATGGTGGGGAGAGATTTTGGCTTTCTTTTAACTTTTCACTAGCTAGCTTAAACTTGTCTGTTTCAACTCGCTGCATGCTTGGCACAAAATGAACTTTTTTTCTGTATCCAAGTAACGCTCTCCTTCATCTTCAAAAATCCACTGATTGAACTGAGATTAAAGTATAAGCTTTCTTGTGGTTGAGGATTGTTGGCCAAGCTACAAGTGAGCAGGATTGAAATCCTGATTTGTACATATCTGGTAGGACAAGTCTTTGTTCTTTGATTCATTACAAGAAACACTTGTAGAGTAAGTACGTCTGTTCCAGATTGACACCTTGCCTTGAACCACACATGGGAGGAGGTGGGGAAGGCAGGACTACCGGAAAGGAAGATGGTTCAGGATGAGAAGTGAGAGCAGCAAAGCTTCAAAGCAGCTATAAGGGAGCTGTGCTCGGGGTTTGGCTACGAATCTAGTGTCTGTGTCTCCTGTCCTCAAGACATCCATTCACTTTTCAGTGTCTGCGGGTGACAGGAGCTTATTTTACATCCCAAATGAGCGGTAATAACTAGAAAAATGACTAGTGGGAATAAGTAGCGCTATTTCTTGCAACAGTTACGAGGCTTCTCTGTCAATTACTGATCCACCCTGACTGTTGGTTGTAATAGCTGGCCCGAGTATAGCGTTGTATAGCTGCCAGATGAGGCAGATGACTTCACGTGTCAGAGCAGTGCTCTGGCTGTAGGGCCGCGCTGGCGTCGCGTGCAAGGCGCTTAGCTGTGGCAGGCCAAGCTCATGCCACCGTTACCGCTCACAACAGCAGAAAACGCTAGCTTTGGTGAGGCAATCATCGTGTGAAAATTTTGAAGTCGAGGATAGATGTACAGTTTCAATCACAGAAGTTTGAAAGATGTGTCAGGCAATTTGTATGTGTGGCGATTGATACTGCAACCTATTTCATTCCTGAGTGATTTTACAGAATTTAAACTGTAATTCTAACCTGATTCTTCCTGATATCTCTGCATTCTCACTGGTTCCAGACAGCTTGTTTTGTTGTGTTTTCATAGAAAATACAGTAACAATATTTCTTACGATTTTGTGTGTGAGTAGTGTTAACTGACCTACATTTTGATTTAATTTACAAAAAGAGTTAATAAAGCTCTACTATAACTTCCTTTGCAGTTTGAATTCTTGTGGTAGTTGTGATGGTCTTTGTTTTAGGAGTTCCTAGTTGCTGTATTTTTAGGGTTTTGGAAGGGTGTAAGGTTCTGCCACAGCAATAAGCAATGTGGCTATTTCTGGCTTGTGTGGTCTTAATTAAAGAAATACTTGGACTGACATCCTAGTTTATGGGATAAAAATCCTGTCTGCCACAAACTGAACTAATTTATTTTCATGCCTAATAGGTGTTTGATGACAGCTGTGCTTGTGGTTCTGCTGAACAGATACCTTGGCTAACAGAACTGAGGTGTTGCTTTGTCCTCCATTACTGTTGTGCTCATAACTGCAACAGCAAGCACGCTATTTAACTTTCCATCGTGGACTAAGGCTTCGAAATCCTAAATGGGGAAGTTCACTTACTCCTGGGTAGCTAAATGCATGGGGTAATAAAAACACCGGTCCAAGTAGGCGGCACGCTTCAGTTTTCAGGAGTTAACGAGACAGAGTCTTCACAGCAGCCTGGGTCTGGGGGCAGAGATGACCACAGCCCCTACGCAGCAAGGTTCTTCCTGCTTACCTTGAAGGCTCCATTGCCTGTGGTGGTGGACTGGGAGGTGTTGTGTGACCACACCTCACAGGTATGGAGCGGTTCCGTGGTCCTGCAGGATGATGCCTCTGCCCACACGAACGCCCATGGCTGCGGCCAGGTGGTGCCGAGAGGCTGCGTGGGTCCTTCAGCCCGAAGCGTGAGAGCTCTTCGGAAACATCACTCACCAAGTCGTTCGGTTTTTCAGAGTCTGCATCAAAATAGGATCCTCGTAGGTACAATGAAATGCTTGTATGCCTTTTTCATGTGCAGTGGTAACATCATCATTTGATTACAAACTGTTTACGAAATGTGAATGATGATAGTCTGTGGTGGAAAAGACATTTTATCGGCTGTATCAGTACAAGAGTTTTCTTAAATGTATCATATACCTGTGGATATTGGTATTATAAATAGATTTAGATATAATGGGAATGAGAGACTTCCCCAGTGAAGTTGACTTAGTTTTTTATATATTACTTACTAATCAGTTTTATATTTTTAGCTGTATGTCGCTAGCATTTAATTGCTCAGCGGAGAGAGGAGGAAGAGTCAAGTCTCGTGAGCAGGAACAGAACTTCTGCAGCACGCTGTTGCAAAATTCAGTTTTCCTGCAGCAAGTAATAGCTCTTTTTTTTTTTCCACTCCTCTTTGAAAGAATTTCTGTAAATAACATCTGTGCCTATACCTGGTTCAAGCTGCTGGATATGGGTTATGGGAAGATTCAGTTACCGCACTTGTGCAGGATAGCTACATGACAGCACCGTGTTTAGGTTGCTGAGGTAACTCTAGACCCAGAGGTGATAAAAGTGCATCATGTCTCTGCGTTTGCTGAGCTTTTTAAACCCCCTGAGAGGCCAGTGTGGCTGTGCTCTTTCCCCAGCTCCAGCTGCCGTCGGCACTTGATCTAGCTGGGTGTATGTAACGCTGTTTAACATTTTTTGTATTGGCCCCATTTTATCACTGTTTATAGCTTTAAAGCCTCTGAGGTCAATATTAAAGCTGATTTTGGGTTTTTTTTGTAATTTTCAAGTTTGGACAGTTGCTTTTTCAGAGTGGAGGATGAGTTCCATTGCTTTACCAAAAATAATAATATGAATATTAATAATTGACATTTGCAACAATTTGTTTGGAAGGACCTATGCTTTGGAGCAGTGGGTAGAGTTGTCAGGTAGGTGCCTCTTGCTTTTCCAGTTAAAATCCATCTTGTTTAGGGCAAATCCTGGGGTGTTTTTTTCAGTTTAACGGAGGTTTGCAGATTGTAGAATGACACAGTAATTCAGGATGTAGGTCTCTAGCTGAGTCTTCTGCTCAAAGCAGGATCAGGCATGAGATCAGACTGGATTGCTAAGGGCTTGATCATTTCAGTCTTGAAAACCTCCAAGGATGGAGATGGCACAACCTGTCTGGGCAGGCCGTACTCTACCTGGCTGTCCTCATGGACAAAAGAAATAACTTATTTCTGCATGGAGAAAGGTTGGGAATGGTTTCCAGTGGCTTCTCACCTGGCTGCTGTCATGTCAGGAGCTAGAACTGAAGCTGAGGAACGTATTTTCTTGAGTTGAAGTGTTTGTCTGCTGGGGCTTTTGGTGAGAAAGCTCTCACTGAAACACAGGCTGGCATCAAGATGGGCTGGGGAAGGGAGAGGTGAATTAAATGGGAGAAAAGATCAACAGAATAGCGAAGGGCAGATCTCTGGGGCACAGGTCTTGCAGTCTTTGGAGCAATTGTCCGAGGCCTGCTTTTTAGCCTGTGCCTTATCTCCAAAAACTGTCCCTCCTTGGAGTGTGTGACACATGGAGGGGGAGCTCCGTGCCTTGTTTGCTCTTGGTGTAGGCATGCTCACAGGTGGACATGCTAGAGAGGAGGTCCTCAGACTTTCCACACTGCCTTTTCAGAATGTGTGTTTCACCCTCTGCTGTGTCCAGTCTGAGAACTGCTTTCAGGCAGGAGGGGGACATGTCCAGAGAAGAGCAGCGAAGCTGGGGAAGGGTCTAGATAAGAAGTCCTATGAGGAGCAACTGAGGGAACTCGGGTTGTTTAGCCTGGAGAAAAGGAGGCCCAGGGGAGACCTTATCGCTCTCTACAACTGCCTGAAAAGAGGTTGTAGTGAGGTGAGCATCGGTCTCTCTTCCCAGGCAGCAAGTGATGGGATGAGAGGAAACGGCCTCAAGTTGTGCCAGGGGAGGTTTAGGTTGGACGTTAGGAAAAGTTTCTTCACTGGAAGGGTTATCGAGCATTGGAACAGGCTGTGCAGGGAAGCGGTGGAGTCTCCATCCCTGGAGGTATTTAAAAGACATGTAGACGTGGTGCTTAGGGACGTGGTTTAGTGGTGGAGTTAGCAGTTAAGTAGGTTTATGGCTGGACTCAGTGATCCTAAGGGTCTTTTCCAACCTAAATGATGCTGTGGTTCCATGAGTCCCCATGCCGTGCCTGGGGCAGAGGCGTTGGGCGGGTGGAGGTGAGGGTGCAGTGGGGAGGACAGCGGGCAGCTGGCCCCAGCAAGTGCTGGAGGAGATGGCTGCCGCTTCTAGAGGCGCATGGCCGTGGTCTGGCGCCTGTCCTGCTGCGAGGTGGCGGCTCAGCCCTCGGCAGCCGGGGCTCCTTCCCTGGTTCCCGGCACTGCTCACTGCCCGCTGGGGCTGCCTGGGTCACTGCCCCCAGCCACGGCCTCACACATTCCTCGCAGGACATCTTCCCAGACAAGTTCTCTGCCCCTCTCCAGAGCGTGCCTTCCTCCGGAGAGGAGGAGGGAGGCAGGGATTCCCGAGCATTGCCGACAGCAAAGCTCTCTGGAGCCAAAGTGTGCCCACAGGCGCTGGCGTCCTGTTGGCACTGCCAGCAGATGTCCCCGATGACTGCGCTGCGGGGGCCCGGGTCTGCTCTTCAGGGGGCTGTAGGCTCATGTGGGTCTGCGGGGATAGCAAACAGGATCTGTGCGGAAGGTGGAGGTCTGAATCCTGCCCCTAGAAAAGAGGAAATTTCAGCAGATTTCCTCCCTTGCGGGTGTTAATAAGATGCAGGGGTGGGAGGAGGACAGGAAAGTGAGTCTACAATAGACTATTTCTGAAATGCATTACTTTTTATTTCTAGAAGTCGTCTGCTTTTTTGCTTTTCCTCTGCTGAATGTGCCATTTTCTAGATCCTAAATGCATTAGAAGCACTGTACCGTGGCTGATCGGTTCGCTGCGGATTTTTCTTGATTTGCCTACTGGGAAAGCGGATGCGTGGTGGGAGCTGCTAAATAGATCAGCTGAAGTGCTACCCTGGTTCTGACAGCGTGGTTTTAGCTCTGCAGCAGCCTTGTCTGGGTCAGGAAGCTGGCTTTTCAAAGGGATTTGGATTATTGGCTCGATATGCTCTCGCCATATTTTTTCAGTCCTCTCTTTATAGTGTTTCAAGTATTTCATTACCTTTAATGCCGGCTCTGGTTTTTCCCTTCAGATAACAGATTGTTTAGACAACCGTGAAATAAAGGAAGTATTTAATTACTGTGCCACTTTTCAAGTGCTAGTATGTGCTATGTATTCACGAATGCATACGTTTTTGTGTTATTCTGGAAGAGGAAACTAGGGGTGAAATGTATGCTTATCTCCAGCTAACACAATCTGAGATATCCTACAGTTTTAAAAGCTTGTAGGAGCTATTCCAAACCAACTGCCTGATGGTTGCTAGTGAACAGTTTGTAAAAGGAGATTAAAGCCCAACACCCAAGAGGCACGCACTGCTCCAAAATGTACTCCCCAGCTCCGTGCTGAGCTCTAAACCGGTCTGGTTCAAACACATTACAAAGAAGCAGCAAGTACTGCCTTGAAGAATTAACCCGTACTTTTATATTTCCGCTGTACTCACCGTGTTTCTACGGTATTATTCTCTGCAGGCCTCGCCGGTGGAAGCAGATGGAGCCGCCAGCAAGCAGGTTGGGGCCAGCCCTGGCAGCGCGGGACCGGGGAGCCCAGTGTGCCCGTCCCCAGGTGGGCTGTTGCTGCTGCCCTCACCCCTGCCCTTGCGCACCCCATGCTGGGCTTTGGGCCCAGTCTGCAGTCTGAGTCCGATAAGTGCATCTGCAGCAGCACCAAGAGGGTTTATTAGAAAACGCTGAAGGTGCCTATAATCTCGACATAATAAAGAAATTTTTTACAGTAAGGATGATCGTTTTGCGGCAACAACCCCCCGAGAGAAGTGGTAGAGTCCCCATGGCTGGAGGTTTTCAAGGTGTGGCTGAACAGGGTGCTAGACAATCTCCTCTAGGCTCCTGTTCCCACGAAAGCTGAGACCAGGTGATCCTTCGAGGTCCCTTCCGACCTGGGCCGTTCCATCATTCTGTGGCTGCTTCGGCACACCTGACCAGACGCTGCTCGGGGTGCGAGTTGTCTGCTTGGCGTGCTGTAGCCAGAAGGCAACAGGGGCAGAAACTATCAGTCAATAATAGCTTCTGTTTAACACTTTTCCCCTCCCCAAGACATTGAGAAATGGGGAAGGAGAATAAGAAGGGGCACATCTGTGCTTGTAGGGGCTTTAAATGGACAGTATTATGCACACTCCTGATTTTCTGCTTTAAAGCCTTTATGCATGATTCCTAATCTGGGGAAAGGAATTTGCTGGTAAAATTTGAAGCCATTTTCCTCAAAAGGGTGTTTCTGAAACATTAATTTTAAGTAGGCATTTTATCTACTGCCTGCTATCATGCTAAGTTCACAGTCATTTTTTGTAGTTCATTTTTTGAAATGGGTCTGTCAAAGTTCAGCTTGGTATGAGTAAATAAAAAGTGCTATTCGAAGTGGGTATTTAAATGAGATCTCTGGCTGTAATTGGTATAGGAGCATAATGCTCCTATTTGTTGAGGATAAATGTGACTTACACAATTGAGCTTTGACCTCAAACATCAATGGGGTACCATTCCCCCACGTTGAGAAGCATATCCAGCCTTTTCTGGATGTGCTCCAAGACTCTGAAGCGCACAGGCTGTTAGCAAGGGCTCATTAGCTGACTAAATTACTTTGGCTCATAGATGCCAAAGCACAGAGGTTAACAAACCTTGCAGGTAGGGTGGAAGCTGCAATCTTGTGGTGAACCGACCAAATTCTCCTCTCAAGAGTCAGCAGTGATGAGCTGATGATACTTGTCTACAAATCACCAAACCACCTTGTGTCTGGCTCCACATCTGTGAGAAATGCTAAACATTAAGTATTGATAGCAAAGTTTAATATTGGCTGGCAAGAAAAACTGAGATAGCATTGCAAAAATTAAAATTGTAAATGAGCATGGGTTTTCATTATTTGAAAGGGATTATTTGGGGAGAAATAGATGTGGTCCAAACTATGTGACCTTCTAGTAGAACAAGCAACATCCTCTGCTGTTCAGTACAAGCCAGATACGTCCACGCAGTGACCTCTGTGCCACCAGTGGTGTGGGAACTGCTCCACAGAATCACAGAATGTTCGGGGTTGGAAGGGACCTCTGTGGGTCATCTAGTCCAACCCTCCTGCCGAAGCAGGGTCACCTACAGCAGGCTGCACAGGACCACGTCCAGGCGGGTCTTGAATATCTCCAGAGAAGGAGACTCCACAACCTCCCTGGGCAGCCCGTTCCAGTGCTCCATCACCCTCAGAGGGAAGAAGTTCTTCCTCATGTTCAGACGGAACTTCCTGTGCTTCAGTTTGTGCCCATTGCCCCTTGTCCTGTCGCTGGGCACCACTGAAAAGAGTGCACACAGTGGTGTGCATCTGTCTGGCAGCAGGAGCAACTCTTGTCTCTGCTTGTGTGCAGGCTCTTGGTGTAGCCTTGGGGGGCATCTGTTTGTTAGCTCACTTTCCTAGCTTGTCGAAGAGGTGCATTCCGAAGCTGCCACTGCTGCCGTGGTTGGAGAGGGGACAGGATCTGAAGCTGAGATTCTGCTTTAGGAAGTTAGAGAGATGTCGGGGTGCTTATGCACTGCCTGGGATGCTGGCAACTGCTCTACTTCCATTGGTGGTACCAGCTGACAGTAGTTTAGCTGTCACGGTCCTCAGCTGTAGGCCTGTGTGCTGCTGGTCCCTTCTCCCGTGAACCAGCATCAACTTGGTGTTTTTTTTAAGAACTGAATGACAGCTGGGTTATTCCAGTCCAAGGCTTCCTGTTAGCACAGTTTATTTGCTGTCTGATGCTTGACTGACATGGTTTAGTGGAAACAGGCAAGCTGAAATATGCTCCAGCACTGACAGTGAGACCGTGTTAACTGTAGCATAGCTACTTGTCTGGGTAGCATCTTAGGATAGGATTCATCACACGACTTCAATAAAGAGATCCATACCTTAGTAGGCACATTGTAGGTTACAGGTCATCTTAACTGAGGAGGAGTATCTGAAATAGTTTGGGTGACTCTTCCCCAAGAACTGTCCCTCTGTCTTTCTTCACCGTGAAGGGTGTTCCATGATGCCCAAGTCAAGTGTAAGTACCTAAATTTTTTCAGGTGAATTTCACTCTTGAAGCCTTGTCTTCTCAGAGAGGTGAATTTTGCCTTTGTTGAAGAAAGATTTTTTTTTTCAAAACATCCATTAATAGGCTTGCAGTATATCCAGCAAGAAATTGGATTGTAATAAATAGGTCTATGTTTTATTTGAAAAAATATCATAACCTTGCAACATTATCTCTTATATGTGTGGATTAGGTTCAGATCAAAAGCAATTCAAGTCAACTGCAGCTTGTGCCAGCCCGGTTGTGAAGAGATTAGAATTTCTTCCCAGTCCTGTCCCTTCAGAGGAAGCTGCTTCAAGTGAGAAAGATGTGAAGAAACCTGAAATGGAGCAGCAGAAGGAAGCAGAGCTCCCTGCTACACCAGAGGTATATATGGACAAGAAAGAGAGGGAGTGAAAAACAAAACAAAAAAGAAGCCAGATCTCACACAAAATGTTTATTGTGCAAATTTTTCTCAGTATAATGTCACTTCAGGAATTCATTCAAAAGAATATGCCAGGGAATGACCCTGGAGGATGGTTTCTGTGCCAAATCCTGTGGTCATCAGAGACTTCCCCCTCCAGAGGAACTCCCCAGTGTCTGCTTGTAGCATTTGAATCCATAAACTGGCTGGAGCAGAAATGAGAACTTAACCTGCAAACGCCAGTCCCACCGCATGTTGGGAGGGCGGAGTATCCAGAAGGTGTAGACAGTGGAGCCCTTACCTTCTTAGTCCTCTTGAAGTGCTGAGCAAGCGCAGGTGGTGGCAGAGGTAACAAATGGCCACAACCATACTGCTCTGTCAGGTCCGTTAGATTGTTGGTCCTGGGTTAGGACCGGCTTTGGTGTGCAGGGCAGTGTGAGTGCCAACAGCAAACAGCTACTGGTTGTTTCCAGGACTTCAGTGCTGCAACTCCATGTTGTAATTCTGGAGACGGAGGCTTCATCTTTGATAACGTTCATTCAGAAAATAAGTGGTAAGGGCTGAAGTTAACCTTTAATTGTGCCTGCTGATCTTTGAATGCTGTTTTCTTTTCCCAAATGTCTGAACAGGTGATGAAACCGAAAGTCCTGGAACAAGAGGGGAGTGTAGTATTGCCATTTTTAAAGAAACTACCTGAGACCAGCCAAGTTACTCTGCAGAATTCTGGTCTACAAGGTAAGCAAAAAGTGTTTGGAGAACTCAGCCGGACAGTAACTGAGTATTTGCATGTGGTGTTCAGGGACAAGTGCCTCATCAATGACCTGGAAAGTTTGGGAGCTAAATGGTTATTTTCTAGTTGCCTCTGACTGATATTGGTAGTGTGGCTTCTGTGATGCGAAGGAATCTTCTGGCTATTCCCCTTAAACGCCACAGCAGAATCATGACACAGCGGAGGGGGGCAGGGAGAGCCCTATCTTGCTCTTACCTGGCCTAACAATAAAAGATGTAGTATGTCAATGGGTATTATATTTCATTGTTGCTTCTGCTTCCAGATGAAAATGACTTAGCAATTGGTTTTATCTCACAGTAAAAACTTCTGGAGCTAAAGTCTGCACTCAGCTGCCCATGTGGAGCTTCTTTTCACAGATGAACAATACATATTTCTGGCCACATCCCTGAATTTGACCTGTGCCAAGCACGATTTCTTGCAAAGCTGAACTTTTCTTGTTTTTTGCCTTCGTGAGAAAGTTTTGCATGAGATTGGTAATGTTTAGTAGTTTGATTTTATATTGATTTTAGAGATGCATATATGTACGTAATGTGAAAGAAAGAGAGAAAGAAAAATCATCTGAAGTTTTCTTTCGCCTGAGAACTTATTAGGTAATATACTGATCATCGTAGGTAATATACTGATCATCCTAGTGTTTTTGAGATTGAAACTACTGAAGGTGATCCACCATGGAAAACAGGATTCTCTGAAAAGGAATAGAAATCTCACTTGTTTTAAGTGGGGAGGTGCTTTCCAAGCAGGCTTTGAGAAGAACATCATTTTATGTTAGGCACGAATCAATCCAAACATTGAGTAACAGACTGTAGGTCTCTAGAGCCCAAATTTTCTGAGCGATGCTGAAACACTTGACTGCTCTCTAGTGTTCACAGCGCGTCAAGCGCCAAAAGCATCCCATAATCCATTAAAACGTGTGTCGGCAATAGGAACGAAAGCGAGCACCATGCAAAGACTTGGAGGGGTGGCTGCCCTGGGCTAGCATTACTGTGCTGGAGCTCTCCTGTAAGGTTAGGTGCCACGTCCCAACAGCAGCAATTAAAGACGGGCAGTCGGTGTGATCTGCAGGTCCGCTGCAAACGAGCTGCGATGGGCCAAAGCGGCTGTAGTCAACATCCCTCCCGTGGCCGAGGCGGCTCGGGTCGGAGAGTCTGTCATCGCCTTTTGACCGCCCTGTGTTTCTCGTTTTGTCTCCGTGCCGTTGCCTGCAGAGCCGCCCCGCGGGGCCGCGGTTCCGCTTAGGGTTCGCAACAACTGGCGGCGATCGCAGTTTTTCTCGCAGTCAGGTAAATGCGGCGCTAAGACCAGCTTTGGCCCCTCTGCTGCCTTCCAGTCAGAGGTCTCCTCGGACGTGGGGCTGGGGTGAAAGCTGAGCATCACGGGGACTTGCTCTGCCTCTCACTTTCGTAGAAAGTGTCTATTCCTGC